AATGTCCGAAAACATGGAAATCCCCCTTTTTGAATGAATAAAACCCCTTACATTGTAACTGGATAATGTAAATTCTAAAATTCCAAAACAATCTAAAGGGAGCTCACATCAATACATAAATACAATCCCATATAACTCTGAAACGGGAAACCTAAAATTTATAAAATAATCAATTCACAACAGTTTCATGCAAATTGGTGAAAGCGTTGAAGAGTTGGTGAACAAAGCATTTTTAGAGTTAATGGGCGTTAACACGAAAATCCCCCTTACTTAATGAATAAAACCTCACATTTTGAAAATGTATATTATAAAATTCCTAAAAATCTAAAAGGGAGCTCACGTCAGTAGATATAATCAATTCACCAGAGTTTCATGCAAATTGGTGAAATATTACTGAGTTAGTGAACAACATGCTAGAAACAGACAGATCAGGGCAGACAGACGGACAAAGGCATACCATAATATTTCTCATGAACAGGCGTATGAAAACTGCAGGGTACCATTCCAGGCCAACACCCTCTGAAGGAAACACTATAAGGGAGCTTCCTTTCCATTTTTATGGGGGAAAAAGGGGTGGGGGGGTGGGAGGGGGGAGGGGCTAGGATGAAAAAATTTTTTCCTGCATTTTTTTTTAGTTCGAGATGTTATCTGTCCTGCCTTTTTATTTTTCACTCTTTTTTGTCCTGCCTTTTTTTCTATTAGTTTATCCCGACTTGTTTACATAAATTGTCATCCTGCCTTTTTTTTCATATTCTCTCATCCTGCCTTTTTTTCAAATTTCATCCTAGACCCCCCTAAAAAATCAAATGGTAGCTCCCTAAGTTAGCAAACAAATTATTTTATTTTTACATTGACAAACCTGTATAACCTTGAAGCAGTATTAAGTTCATGTATTATCCCGCATATTATTACATGTACATTGAACTAAAACAAATTGTGGTCATTGTCAAAATTATAGTTTACAGTTTACTTTTCCAATGCTTTCAATTTAAGATTAGGGCATTTTTGTCATTGGAATTGAGTTTTGTAGTCGGAGATTACTCTAACCTCCAACGACTGTTTTGCGACACAAGCTAGGGCTGTGGGACTTCAGCTGGTCCCATATCAGATAGATGATATTTGCCTGTCCGAAGTGGAGGCGACTGGATTCATATAAATCAAGCCTCAATTTATTAATTTTTCTCTTTATTTAAGTAAGTTTGATCAACCTGCCACCCGTTATCTTCTCATATTTGGACAGTTTTCACATTGACCCATCAATACTGGCATTTTAGAGGGTATGAATGCCCTTTACCGTCAGGCGTCAAACAGTCATTTTCGGTTACCATTAGCATCAAATTGGTTAACATTTTACCGTGATTCGTCAACATATCCTTATCGTGATTCGTCAGAGGTCTCAAATAATTATCGTTACCATTATTTTTTGGGAAAAATTAACGTGTTTCGTCAAAATCTGTCTATTTTTTTATCGTCTTGAAGAAAGTATTTTATCGTCATGCACCAAAAATTACCGTTAACGTCATTTGGCAGGATTTTTTACCGTTATTCGTCATGAAGGTACCCCCATTACCACCCTCATTTTAACTTTCACTTTATAAGAATGTCACATGACCAACATTATGGAAACTGATTTATGCAAATGACCCATATTCCATAGGAAAACATATCTATATAAATCGAGCCTCAATTAGTTCATTTTTCTCTTCATTAAAGTAAGTTTAATCGACCTTCCACCCGCTATTTTCTCATACTTGGACAGTTTCACATCGACACATCAATACTGGCATTTTTACTTTAACTTTAAAAGATTGTGACATGACCAACAGAAAAGTAATTTACAATGCATTACATGTATGAGAGCTGATTTATGAAAATGACCCTTATTCAATAGGAAAACATAATCTAACACCTCGTTCATTTATGATGCAAATAAGCTGAATGGCAGAGTGTGTTCAATTTGAAAATAAAGAGTTAAAATGCCGGAATCGCAAAAACAGATGTTGAACACCAGAGTAATCTCGGACTATGAGTATGAGTTTTGGGCAATTTGTAAGGGGGGGAGGGTTCAAGGGAAGCAAATGCTCTTTAAATTATGCATGTTTCAAAAATTGGGGAAAAATTACACAGAGAGTTGAGTCATTTTTTTCAGACTTAATTCAAATAATGACTTATGTAGAATTACCTTCTAATTCTATAAAAAAAATTCACAACTACTGAACAGGAACGATCATGGTACTTTTTTACCTATGAAATGATCTGCAAAACCTACAAACAGACACAAAAATATCATCAAATAGTGAAATAAAAGATTGATTGCACCTTATATGGATAGTTCCGACACGTGTTACGTGGGGAGCCCGTTTGTTTACAAATAATAATGTCACGTGATCACGCACTGACCGTCACAAATTTTTATCACACAATATTAACTGTACTTGCACAATTCACAAATGCATAACCCATTTATCTTGCGGACATGCAATGGGAATGTACACGGTTATCAAAAACTATAAAAATATTGCATGTACAGTTAATGAAGAAGTTATTTCATCAAATAGATAAGATTTTCACTCATGACACAATATCGACTGGATGTCATCGCCATCGGGGATAAATGGGATTAAATTGACCGCCAAGAAGGTGTAGAGAACCACCTCTGGGGAACCTTAACATTAATAAGTAATACTCACCAAAATTTCTCTATAATTAACGCTATTTTCTGTTGGAAAATTTCAGAAAGATGCTGATAAACTTATTTGGTGACACAGATTATTTTCTGGTTTTGGCGCGAAATATATTCTTACTCTTAATGCTTGACGTAACAAAATTTGTATAGAATTATATTTAACTAAAGCTCAGCGTAAATATGCAGAAGCATGACAATACATTAATAATAAAATGTGTAAATATTTCTGTAAAAGAACATAATTTTACTTTACCAGTATACTTCACTTAGAATTACATTTGAGCGCAAGAAAATCTCTATGTGAATCGGCTCGGGGTCGAAGTTCAACATTTCAACGGAAATTTTTGCGTGTGCTTGCGTTGCTTTAGATCGAGGCCACAGCTTTTCAACCAATCGGGGAATGTTTACTTGGGGCATACATCTATTTTTACTGCAGGTTTCGACATGTTTAAATCGGGATTATAGAAAAATGGAATGTTGTTGGTAAATACAGAACAGAAAATGATGAACACTTTTAGCAAAAGATAAATTGGATCGGGGGTCTGTGAATTCACATTATTTGTACAACTCTCCTTACTCTTGGGAAGCGTGTGCTTTACATCGAGGCTTGCGTTGCTTTACATCGAGGCTTTCGTTGCTTTACATCGACGCCATAGTATTTCAACCAATCGGGGAATGTTTATTTGGGGCATACATCTATTTTTACTGCAGGTTTTGGCATATTTTAATCGAAATTAGAGAAAAATGGAATGATGTTAGGAGATATAAAACAGAAAATGATAAATATTTTTAGCAAAAGATGAATTGGATCGGGGTTCTGTGTATTCACATCATTTGTACAACTCGCCTTACTGATGGCAAAAAATGGAATTTCCGTGACCTAAATGGTTCGCGAAAATTAATATTTTTATATATATATAGTAATTATTAATATAACATAAATCAACGCTAACATGTTTAACCCCGCCACATTCTGTATGTATGCGCCTGTCCCAAGTCAGGAGCCTGTTATTCAGTGGTTGTCGTTTGTTTATGTGTTACATATTTGTTTTTTGTTCATTTTTTGTACATAAATTAGGCCATTAGTTTTCTCGTTTGAATTGTTTTACATTGTCATTTCCGGGCCTTTTATAGCTGACTGTGCGGTATGGGCTTTGCTCATTGTTGAATGCCATACGGTCACCTATAGTTGTTAATTTCTGTGTCATTTTGTCCCTTGTGGAGAGTTGTCTCATTGGCAATCATACCAAATCTTATTTTTTATATTTTATTAATGTTTCAACTTTGCATCACTGTTTACATTCAACAGATTGAAAATATATTATCATTTTGAATAAATATAACATCACATGCAGTTTTGAGTATATATGTATTTTCCTCTATTTACAAATTTTTTTTTTTACTGAGGTAAATTAATCAATAAGTGATAGATTTCTCTTAGAAGAAATTTAAAGGTCCCAGTGAAAAAACTACATGGAGAACAATAGCTATTGTATTCATTCAATAGATCAGGTGAACTTACAAAATTTTAAATACCTGGTCAAGATAGAGATGGCACTGTGGAAAACTTTCATTGGGTTCGCAATAATGTAAAAGTCAGTCCTTCAAGTTAATTTCATCGTATTGTTCACACATGCATGTAATAATTATACCTTATAGTTATATTTATGTATGTTCTCTATATAATTGTACTTTATGAGAAATAAAGTATTCATATTCATATGAAAGAAACACTTCTTCTATCAGTTATATAACCCATGTATAAGTTTGGTATTGCTATCACATCCCTTTATGACTAACTTGACTTTTTTTTTTTTTTTACCTAAAACTCTACACCCTTATGCATCTTAACTTTTCTTTTAACTTCTTAACAGCGAAGATGCTACCATTATGAAGGTATACACAGAAATGGAACTTGAATGGGTCCTTTTTTGATTTGTCAAAGATAGCAATGGGTTTCAATTTCACCAATGTCGAATCACAAAAATTTTAAAAAGATGTAAGACCGATATATACCATTTTGCAAGGTTTTGACAAAATTTTCATGAATAATCCAATTGGCTCTTGAAAACATATTATTGATCAGAGCAATTCAAAAAGAAATCTACAGTTTCCTCTACAAATTGGTTACCTTATTTTCAATGAGACTTCCCTGAATACCAATTGCATGTTTTAGTGGAACAGTCCTGAATGTGTTTTTATTCAACAGTGAAGTTGCTTTGAAACATGTCTTAGATGCTTTTTCAATGAATCATAAAAAGAACAAATCACCTTATATCAAAATTACAAACAATAAAATAAAAAATGCACATACTTTGAAATGATTGATCCAAAAGTCTGACTTGCTTTGCCTTAACCAACCCCATTGCCTTTCAATTCTCTGAAAAAGTTAAAATATTAATCACTGAAAATCTGATGAATTATAGCATTCTAACAGAAAATCCTGTAACAATGTTGTTAAGTACTACCTGGGTTCAATACATACAAAATTACCAAAAAATCAAAATAACTGACCAATAGCATATACTTTATTATTAACAGATATCCTAATGAAATATAGCAGAATTATAAATTTCTTCAATTAAAAAAATTGAGAAAAAATAGTCAGATAGCTTTTGTGAGTTTAAGAAATCAATCTGGATTTGCTTAGAATCAGTCAGTCAAAGACAAATTATGTAAACAGGTATATATACAAATTACACCTTAAATACCTGATTAAAAACTGAGGAGCCATAAATCACAGACTTCTCATTGGAAGTGTGAGTGACTTGAATAGCTGCTGCTAACCCATTTTCGGTACCAGGGTCACATCTGATCTTGGTTGGAAAAGCTGTAAAATACATTGTATCCTTTCAACTTCATGACAGTTTTTCTTTAAAATAATTATGCAAGGAATTGTTTGTATAAATTTCAGTTCTCACAAATTATAATGGAATGGCACATTTGCTGTGTTGTTCAGATCAGATGTACCGGTTTTTGTACTATCAAACTTCCTTGAACCAGTACGCTCTTATATGCAATTAAAGGTATGTTGAATTTTTCACCACAAGTCAGGGTAAGGTATAGTTATGACATGAAATGACTGCCACTTTATTTGAACTTACAAAGTAGCCATAAATGCTTAAAATTGCAGAATTTAACTGAGAGCAATAGTCTATAAATAAGTGGTCTTATACCTTAAACACAAGTTATTGTCTGTAAACTAATGAAATGCTTGGTTTTTTGGGACCTTTTTTTGACACTAATTCATCAACATTTGGGGCAATTACTCCAAAACTCCAGCCCACAATTCCCTTTGTATAAGAAAATCTTGTAATACAAGTTCAGAGAACCATACACTTACTAACAAGTAATAGTCCTGAAACTACACAAATATAAAAAAGAAGATGTGGTATGATTGCCAATGAGACAACTCTCCACAAGAGACCAAATGACACAGAAATTAACAACTATAGGTCATCGCACGGCCTTCAACAATGAGCAAAGGCCCATACTGCATAGCCAGCTATAAAAAACTGTTGGTACCATTACCCCTAAAATCAATCCCAAACCTTCCTTTTGTGGTATTGGACCTTCTAGCAAAATTCAGAGATCCATTCACTTAAACTAAAGTTATTGTCTGGAAACCAAATGTGTCTTCGGACGAGGAAGACGACATCATAGCATTATACAAACGCAAATTTTTTGTGGTTGTATAATTACATGTATAACATTATTAATTGAATTCGCTGTACATAGGGACACTAATATCATTTTGTGTGTACTAAAAATATTAGAGCTCTTTCAAAAAATATTTTATATATTATGTTTAAACTTGCCAAAAATTCACTGTCAATAAGGGTTTCACTGCACAATTCAATTTTTTCTTATTGGCCTAATGCAAGAATATTCAAAGGATACTTACAGGATTCTTTCTAGATATTGACACTGACTTTTTTGGTCTGATAATTCAAAAAGAATAGCTAATACAAACTGTGATGTTAATAATCTTGTATTCATTGGTAAACATAAGTTCATACTGAAATGACCTTTTTAAAAGGTTCACTATTTGAGGACCAGATTAAAAAAAAAAGGTATAAATTGAAGTTATTGCCAACCTTTAATGTTATCAGCTGCTTTCAGGAAGAAATCAGCTACAACTTCTGGTCTTTTATTGGTAATACTGGCACACATCCATATAATTTTTCTTGAAAAACTGAATGGAAAATAGAATTAATACAAAGCATTTATTCTTGTATAGTTCATCATATGCAAAATCTGAATGTTGATTACTAAAAAAAGAGTCCTAAGTGTACACATTTGACAAGATTATGCTCTGTCGGTCATTGTTATTCTTGCACAGATTTCATAAGAATATTGTTTTAACAAAATTTAGGCACAAGAATATATACTGTTAATTACGTAAAAATATGTCAAGATCACAAAACTTTTATGATAGTTTTTTTTTTGTATTGTTATATTAATGGGAGTTATATCTGTTATTGTTTATAATTCTGCCAGAAACCATTTTCATTATGTGTACTTGAGTAAAAAGTAAATAAACAAAAACTGTGTCATGTTTATCATTACTATCATTTTGCGTCTATTACAAAAAATTAAATGTATAAGTGGAATAAATTGTTCTTCTTACCCATCTACACATCCATGTATACATATGCCAAAGGGCTTTAGTTTGTCATAACCATCTACAAAGTAATTTCATACTGTAAGTTATATAAAGAAGTGAAATAGTAGATGTATATCAAAGGTGCATGTAATTAGCTGTGAATGTTTGCTTCACATCAAACCCATCAGACAAAAAAAAATTATTTTGAAATATTCATCTGCTTTCTAGTATAACTTTCTTATTTGAATCAATTTTATTCATCAAGGCTTTTTGCAACAATGGTAACAGATTCATTAATAGGAACCGCATTCTTTTATTTTTATTATTTCTGTATTTCATGACACTTTCAGAGAATTCCAGAAATTATTGCATGGTTTTTATTAGTGTGAAAAATGTGACAGAGTGTTAAACGCAATAATTTGAACTCGCATTTTGAACTTTTTTTAAATGAATTAAACAGGATTTTTCTGAAAATCGTAAAAATTAAAATTGCATAGAAAGAAGTCTAAAACGAAAAAAATCACAATAATAAATGCACATAAAATAAATGGTACAAAGTTGCTTAAAATTAAACCAAAAATGACCCCAAAATATTTTTTTGGAAACAATGTATAGTTCTATATACAATATTTAGCGAAAAATCTCAAGTTGATGAATACTTATGGCCACACTCTGTATGTATCATGAGAATTAAATAATGAAATATAAAATTATGCTGCTTACCTAAGTGCCAAATATAGTTAGGACCCTGAAAAGAAATATGAACAGAAGTAAGTTGATGTAATTTGCAACTGGAATATTTCCGTATATTTTTGTTCATTTCATGTGGACTTAAAGGTCAGAATTTAATTTTCAAAGAGGACATTATACATGCTTATGAACCGGTATCAAAAGTATTGTAGCCTTGAGTGCATGAAACTTCATAACTGTATGTGTAAAAACATTGAGGAATGATGTAGGGTTGAATGCAATAGTTGAAAACTGTAATGATTTTGATGACATAATTGAAACTGTAGGAATTGATCAAGGTACTGACTTTTCTTAGTAACCTGAAGATTTCAATTACACTGTATAATTTAAGAATTTACAACTATCAAATGACAGTAAATCTTTTTTTTTTTACTATCATGAAGAATTTGAAAAGTTTGAAGGAATGTACATGTTACAATGATGTAGGTTACTTAGTTACCCTCTTGCAGAATATATATGTATCAATACAAAAAATAATACTTACTTAACATGTACAACTAGAAATTATGGATGATGAAAAAAAAAACATTCAATATGACCTTTTTAATTTTTCTATTAAAAATGCATCAAACTTGTAAATACTATTAGTGTGCTAGTGACCAAATACATCATATATGGGGTCAGAAAATTCCATATGGGTGAAAGCATAATTTTGACAACACAAAGTTACCAAAAAAACTTGTTAGCTTTAAATGTGTTTTATGAATTTATTTCAATCGTTCATTATTCATTTTTTCGTCTGTTGAAACCATTCATATTTTCACTCAACACTGTGTTGTTTTTATAAAGGGACATAACATCACTACTAACCTTGTATCAAAATAAGCCCGCCTACTAACCTAATATGAAATATTTTAACCATTCATATTCCTAGAAATGTATAGGAGGCAAGATGAGATTAAATAATGTTACTACAAACATGTATGTAGATCAGCTACAAATAAGAACTGAATTAAGTCCTTTTCTTCTTTAAATAACATACCTTGGATATGTATTGTCTTCTTCTTAATCTTCTACCTTTACGCCTTTTAATACCATCTGCATCTAAGATTCTAACAAGTTCTCTGGAAAGAGACCTAGAGAAAAAGTATCTATATAAATAATGTGCCAAAATGGTTTAGGATGCACGTGCAGAACCTTTTGATATCAAGGAGCCACAATGACCCATTAAAAAGTTTTTGGATCAAGGTTTGAAAATTATTATTAAAACTCCTAAACATGTTTGTAGTTGATGCCAACTGTTTATAGATCAACATTTAGTTACAAGATTGAATTACCTTGTTATTTGCAACTGGTATTTTATTTTCAAAGAACGACGTAAATTTTCACATCCATTACAACCATTCCTGATTTCTTTCTAAAATAACAAAACAAAATAAACAATTTTAAGAAAGGTAATATTGCCATGATCATATGATTATATCTAAATAGTGAAATTACAAAAAAATCAACACCTCTATAAAAGTTAAATTTTTTTCCTGTAACTTCAAAGAATTAAAAAAAGAAAAGACCTAGGTCAGCATGTGGCAGGAGTGTCATCAACAATGTACAAAATGTAGTAGGATGTAATGAGTTCAGTTTAAGAGTAACCACTAGATGTACATTGTACGTTAATGATTTTTGTTTGCAGTTCAGTGGTTCATTTTATATCTGTGGAGATTATTTAGAAATGTCCCTCTCAGGCATGGTTTATTTTAGAAATAATTCATGGCAGCCATAGATTTGTTCTCATTAAAACACAGGTTGGGTTTTTATATACAATTATTTTATGCCGAGCGATAGCCATGGTTAAAGAATTACATTCCATGTATGTTTCATTATGATACCTTATTTTGATTGGCTAACAGCAATCTCGCGTCCTTCTGAAATTGACATTCATTACACAATGAAATGTAACATTCATGACACGAGGTCCCACAAAAAAATGCACAGGTAAATTAAAGAAAAACTTGATAGAAATCGTGTTTTCATGATCCTAGCTACAAAATGGAATAAGAAGTATTGAATTCTTCTTTTTGTAATTTTATAGGGTTGTAAAAGAATTTGACCGTGTGCAGATTTTTAGAATGAAGCGCACAAGCGCTTCATACAAAATGTACTTCGGTTAAAGCTTTTACGCCACGATGAATATGCAAAAAGAAGCATTCAATTCTTAAATGAAAATAAATCTATTACTGTATGTGTGGTAAGGGATTTATTTGATATCCCATATAAATATTAAAAAAGAAGATGTTGTATGATTGCCAATGAGACAACTCTGGGACAGTGGTGTAACAGTACAAAATAAGAACGATCTATAGACATCAGTTGAAAAAGACTTAACTCATCACATGGATATAGTATTTGTGATAACAAACAAATATATAATCATAAAATACTATCTCCTGTACAGCAGAAGTGAAAAATATCAATATTGAACTTTACATTGTCATCAATTACATCTTAAAATTTGAAAAGCACTGATTGGACTGTTGAGTTACTATTTGAATGGTTGAATCTGAAATCAGTATCAAGACATTTCCCTTAATCACAGTTAAAATAAATTATTTTAGAAATTCATTTTTTTTTTAATTTCTTAGAAAAAAAAACAAATACACCATTTTATGCTATCTTGAACTTGTCACATACCACTGCCAATGTAATTGCTGTATCAATGTTAATTCTGCAGTTTCTTCTCTTTAAACCTAACCTTGGGATGACTTTGTGCTGTAAATATTGGAAACTGGAAAAAATTGAAGTCAGGATAAAATATATAATCATATAAGGGATGAAAAAAACAGAACCTGCTTGTTAACTTCTGTTGGTATGTAGACAGGATGTTTTAAATTACATAAGTGAAATTCTGAATAACTTGAGTTATTTCATAAATTTATAGTGACTTTAAACAAACTCATTTTAAAAGAGTACCTCTCCCTGATAAACAGAGGAAAAAGCTCTCAGTGAGCTGAATTAATTTTTTCTGTTCTACCTAGAGCTTGGAAGCATCATGGTACCCTTGGTGCTGTCTATGATTATTTTATAAAAGAATGTATAGGGGCCATGGTGATATATTTTTTTTTTAAATAGTGCTATATTAGTTTCTATATTCCATGGTGCTATGTGAAAGTTAGAAGTGAGTTTTTGAAGCTTCTATGATTTATCTTGTTGATCTTTTTGTAAAAAAATTTATTGCTATTGCAGGGATGGAAATTAACACTTTTTCATTCACTTAGTTAATTAAAATAAGTATTGTTTTTTTTAAGTTTTTTGTCCCCAGTAGACCTTTTAAAGTGGTGAACTTCATTATTTACCTAAATTTCAGTAAAGAGACATTCATCTCATTAAATGTTATATATAAATCAAAGTAATGGTGCAATAAAAAGTAAGTGATTTAGAAAGCAAAAATGAAAATGACTGTCATACTGACAGACAGGCCTAATCCTAATCCCCCTCTGTATAGCATTTTCAACATTTATACTTACTTTTCTTGAAGTGTAAACACGCAGTTGTGTGTATAATTTAAGCGATGTGTGTACATTTGTAAATCCTTGTCATTTTACATTTACACTTTACTTATACCAATATCTTAGATTACATTTATAAATGCATATGAGTGTTTAAGAGAAAAATTTATGGTAACAAAATTGCCACATGTTTTGCAGGCATCATGGTAATTTTCTAATATGATTGAGGTAATAATATATATACTTTTTCACTTTTTTGGTCTTTTTAAAAATGTTGTTTGTGCTGTATTTAGCCCCTCTATCAAGAAATTTGTTTTGCATGCACACGTATAAAAATTGTGATATGTATATCCTCATTCTCACATATGCCATACAAACAATTACTAAATTTAGAACTAAAAAACATTGTAATCTTATTTGTAATCTGTATGTATTAAAGTGTGTGTTCCCTTTCTTGTCAACCATGATCCAACAAGTGAAACTGTGAGCTATTGCTCACTGGTGATACCCCTGCTGCATCTGGATACTATTAATAGTGTAAAAATATGTAAGTGTTTGGGAAGGAAGCTGTTTAGTGTTGAATCTGAAAATGCATCGCACAATATAGCTGACTTATATAAAACCTGAAACCAAATGTCAGAAATCCTTGTATTGCAGTGTCTGAGAAAAATGCGACAAAATATATTCATGGGACAGATGGACAGACTGATGGATAGACAGAGGTAAAACAGTATACCCCCACTGTTTTAAAGCGGGGTATAATAATTAGGACAAATTAATATTTTACAGCAATATACCTAATCTGAAAGTTCTTTTCTTTTTCCAGGATGTAGTGTATCAGTCTGTAAGGATATCCTACATAAAACATTTCACTTATCAACTGCTTTATTTCTGAAATTTTATTGCATTTTATATAAAAACAATAAACACAGAATTCAAATCTCATTCATAATAAATTAAAGTTAGGAATTATAAATATTCTTTCTTCTAATATATATGCTAATTATATATATTCAATTATTCACTATTGAATCATCTTTTTACAGTCAGTGATACTACTTGCACAAATTAATTTTATTTACCTGTATAGGTAATTAATAATATACCTTTATAAGTAAATTGTTATTTTCATATTTTCTTTGTGGTTTGAATAATCTCCCCTTAATTTTCTCAAAAAATTTACATGTACAAGTATTTTTTTACATCCATAAAATTCTCAAGTTTTGGGATGTAAAAACATGTCAGACTTAAACAATTTTTCTCTGGTTAGCTTATAATTTTTTAATAGAGTTCAATGTTACATCTCATTAATTTAACAAAGAAACTAATTGTGAAAAGATCTAATCAATTCTGCAAGGCAACTAAGCTAATAATTTACCTATACAAGTAAATAAAATACATTTGTCTAAGAATCTTAAAAATCTACTTATATAAGTATATTAATATTTACTTCTTCAAGTAAATAAAAATAACCTGTACAAGCAGTACCCCTGACTGTTTAATGTGACCTCCATGATAAAACCAAAAAAATAGGGATCTCTGGTGGTGAATATAAAACGGGTAAGGTCAGCTGAACAAAACAACTTTATGAAATAATTTCTGAAAATCAACCACCTTACACTACTCATTCACTTTCTGAACAAAACTTTGTGTATCAATACAGTTATACTTCAAATCTTATAGAAAAGTTAATATAATATTATATAGTTATTTTTGTTACATGAATTAAAGGAAGAGAACTTTTTTCTTGAAATTAATTCCAGATCAAACTGTATTAACTTTAGAGAAAAACTGTTTTGAAAACAATGTCTTGTGGGTAATATCCATAACTTATTGTATAGTAAAACATCAGTTTTTAATGCATAGTTTGAACAGAAACTTAAAAACATCTATTAAAATCAAATATATATATGTAACACTAACCATCAGGTATCATTTTGAGTTAATCAGGTATTACATGTATATAGATAGACAACCTGAAAAGAAAAAAGAACTAGAAAGATAGACTTTGACATTTCCTATTATCACTGTGATAATGATTATGTATTCTGTAAGATGCTACAACTAATAGCATACTAATGAGTATACTGATGTGTATCACTACTAATAGTTATTACGGTAAGGTTAAATTCCCTATCATTCATTCATCCACGCACGAACTTGTCTCAGATTTTTTTTTATGAAATTACCTTTACCTAACTTTCAGGTATAGATAGGAGATGTTATTTTTTTTGTGCTTGTCACTATCCAAAAGAACTTGTGGTAATAGGATATTCAGTACTTCAGTACTTTGATTTAATATTTGTGTTGTTTTAGAATTTTTATGCATACATGTATATACTATTTATTTATTACTGTACTGTTTTGTTTTCCATTACCATCTAGCACCTCCAAACTGTCATAGGAAATTGGTTGACTAATATCTTAATGTTTTAAAATAAACAAGAAACATGGGACAACTTTACAAATGACATCCTTCTTTAGAGAATTAACTCTGACATGGTTAATCAGAACTAAAACAATAATTTATATATTTATGACATAAGCTAATTAACTATACATTTAACTATAGGTACCAGTAAAATTACCTGAACATCAATATAGCTGGAATGGAGACATATAAAAGCAAAGTTTTATCTGGAAATAATTTTTCTTCAATAAAATATCCGACACACGAGAAAATTATAGAAAACATGAAACTTATAGCACGTAGATTTTTTTAATTTGTCAGTCATTAATGACTTATATGTAATGCTATTGTTTCTTAATTTAAATTGGTGGCTGTGCAAAATACATGTACTTCATATACATGTACATTTTTACTTCATAATTGTTTAATTTTGATGAAAACCCAAATTCATGAAGCTGATCAGTACATTGTAGCTGCATTTTGGAGATGCAATAACCAAAGCTGTACTGTTGCATGATTTAGAAAAGAGGGGCGAAAGATACCAGAGGGACAGTCAAACTTAAAAATGGGTCTTAATATCTTTTAAAAGGGTTTTAGATTTTTCCTATGTTAACAGTCTGTTACATAGCATTCAACAGAAATGTACCCCAAATGGAGGATCTCATGATATTTTACTGAAAGCTTAAGGTTTATGCAAGTTGTCTTTCCTAATGAAAATCAAAAGATGGAAAATGCAGTATGATTTTTTTTCTATTTTTCTATTGCAGTTCATGCACTTTACATATCTGAAACAATAGTGTAACATCACAACATAGAAAGACATATAGTTTCTGATTTTGGAATACTCAAAAGTTGTTGAATCCAATCTAGCAGATGAAAAATAAAATGATAGAATGCAGTCTAGTCGCTTGTCACTGAAATTGATGATATTTATCAATGTTTGTGATTCAAGGAACTCAATGTCTGAGACGATCATAGATTCATAACTGTAAACGGTCTGTTTATAATTATATTTACAAAAATCTGTATAATTAGCTATTTTTTCAATTTTTTTTTAATCACTAAATTTTGTTAAATCCTCTTCTTATGCACTGCCTACCTACAATGGTTTCTTCCCATTGGTAGTAAATGAAATAATTAAGTCTCAAGTGTTTATTCTATACAATTTACTCAAATGCTGAAAACTGTCCACTGGCAGGAAGTTTTACATAGCATTCAACAGAAATGTACCCCAAATGGAGGATCTCATGATATTTTACTGAAAGCTTAAGGTTTATGCAAGTTGTCTTTCCTAATGAAAATCAAAAGATGGAAAATGCAGTATGATTTTTTTTCTATTTTTCTATTGCAGTTCATGGACTTTACATATCTGAAACAATAGTGTAACATCACAACATAGAATGACATATAGTTTCTGATTTTGGAATACTCAAAAGTTGTTGAATCCAATCTAGCAGATGGCTCCAAAGTTATTGTGAAACTGCCTATTCTAGAGGTGGCGTGAATCAGATGTGGATACTAAAAAATTCCAAAGATCTTTTAGAGTACATACAATCTAAGACTCTCTCATCTTGCAATAGTATTAAAACATTTGACTTTTCTACACTTTACACAAGTATTCCCCATTCCAAACTAAAAGACAAATTGAAAGAGTTGGTATTACTTTGTTTCATTAAAAAGAATGGCGAACATAGATACAAGTATCTTGTCTTGGGGAGGGATAAATCCTACTTTGTAAAGAATCACTCTGATTCAAACAAAAAATTCTCTGAAACTGACATTATCAAGATGCTTGATTTCTTGATTGACAACATATTTGTTACGTTTGGAGGACGTGTTTTTTAACAGACTGTCGGAATTCTAATGGGAACCAATTGTGCCCCTCTTCTTGCGGACTTGTTTCTTTATTATTATGAGGCTGACTTCATACAGGAGCTTCTTAGGAAGAGAGATAAGAAGTTAGCAATATCCTTTAACTCTACGTTCCGCTATATAGATGATGTTCTCTCACTAAATAATACAAAATTTGGTGACTATGTTGAACGAATCTATCCCATCGAACTAGAGATAAAGGATACTACAGATACAGTTAAATCTGCCTCATATCTTGACTTACATCTAGAAATTGACAATGAGGGTCGGTTGAAAACAAAACTTTACGACAAAAGAGATGATTTCAGCTTCCCAATTGTGAACTTTCCATTTCTATGTAGCAACATTCCAGCAGCGCCTGCATACGGAGTATATATCTCCCAATTGATACGATATTCCCGGGCTTGTGTTTCCTATCATGATTTCCTTGATAGAGGATTGCTGCTCACAAGGAAGCTATTAAACCAAGAGTTCCAAGTGGTGAAGTTGAAGTCATCCCTTCGTAAATTTTACGGACGCCATCACGAGTTGGTTGACCGTTATGGAATAACCGTTTCACAGATGATATCGGATATGTTCCTTATGTCGTAACTACAATACCCTTCCCTTTTCACGAATGTGACTTACCGAATTAGACTATTTACCGGATTTGTAATAACATAAGCAACTCAACGGGTGCCACATGTGGAGCAGGATCTGCTTACCCTTTCGGAGCACCTGAGATCACCCCCAGTTTTTGGTGGGGTTCGTGTTGCTTAGTCTTTAGTTTTCTATGTTATGTCATCTGTACTATTATTTGTCTGTTTGTCTTTTTATTTTTGGCCATGATGTTGTCAGTTTGTTTTCGATCTATGAGTTTGACTGTCCCTCTGGTATCTTTCGTCCCTCTTTTAAGATTAAGAAGATACCATGTTTAAAACAAAAGGGAGTTCACTTCAATAGATATAAACAATTCAACAAAGATTCATGCGAATTGTTTAAAGCGTTTTTGAGTTATTGTCCAACATGTTGATGACTGACGGATGGACAGAAGGACAACTGTATACCATAATACCTACCGTAAACGGGCGTATAAAAAAATAAAGAAAAGAACATTGAAATAGAGAATATAGAATAATGGAGTGTTGTATTGAGTGATTGAAAAATAATGGGGAAAAATATGAAGAATACAGAAAAAATGACCTAAAATTTTGAACAATACAGAAATGAAAGACCCCAAAACCGTATCCAGACTTTTGTATAAAATAAGGAGATGTGGTATGATTGCCAATAGAAACAACTACCAGTAGCTGACAGAATCCAAATGACTAGGGTGTAAGCAACTATAGGTCACCATACAACCTTCAAAAATGAGCAAAACCCATACTGTAGTCAGTTATAATTGGCTAAAAAGATGACCAAATGTGTGTCCATGCAAACAAAAAAAAGAAATGCTCTAATTTAAGACAACACAATAAATGAAAATCAAATTTATAGGCTCCTGACTTAAGAGTATGCATTTATAGAATATGGTGGGATTAGTGAATTTACACATGATTGTTATTGTGCATGTTTTAATTAATTTACCTTAATTGATACTTTGTTACCTTCAGCTGTATATTACAAATGTATTATACATGTACCATTTAACATCAAAGTCAAGATCATATAAACTATACCACAAAATCATTAAACCAGACCAAAATTCTAATTATAACTTGATCTGTAACTTGACATGATATAACTACATACCAATCAAAGGGGCCCCCTTTAAGTGATACTTGTAAAAACTCTGCCTTTATCATAAATGAAGCTCCTTAAAAAGGGCCAAAAAAACCTTTAAATTGTTATGCTGTCTATAAGACACAAACGATACCCCTGCCTGACCATAGGAACTTATAAATTTTACAATATATATGATGATTTAACTGTAGCACAGTAGGAGGAGATATCTGGACAATCACAGTGGCGGATCCAGAAATTTTCATAAGGGGGGCCTACTGACTGCCTAAGTGGGGGTCCGTTTTCAGTCATGCTTCAGTGATTCCCTATATAATCAACCACCAAAAAGGGGGGGGGGGGGGGTCCGGGCCCCCTGAAAAAAAACTCTAAATCTGCCTCTGAACCAAGATCTCTATTTGCAGCTGTAGTACCAAGAAAATTACCAAGTCCAACTTAGGCAACTACAGCTGTGATCAGCTATATAATTGTCACAATATTTGGAAGAAATCAAAATCCTGTGGCCATGCACTTCTTCTTCTTCTTATGGTATCCAGTTATCCATCAGATTTTGATGATTACTAACTGCACACCTTTATTATTTGTATGAACATCCTACAAAATATTAAAGTTGTACCTCCAAAACTGTAGGAGATAGCCGGACAAACAATGCATCTTACGGACGAACAGACGGACGGACAGGGGTAAATTTATACCCCACCCCTATTTTGTCACGGGGGCTTAAAAATCATACAGACGCTTACGCACACACTTAAATATATACATACATACTATATAGTCTGCATGTGCTTGCGTGTTTGAGGTTTTCAGTTGTCTTTTCAACAATAACACCTATCTATCTATCTCAACCTTTCTTGGTGTAATGAACCAGAATATGCAAATCTAGAGAGTTTCGAATGTATTTCTCGGTTCCGCGTCTGCATTTGATGTAAGTCTTTGCATTTTTATATTTCCCCGCAGATTATATAATCATAATATTCGGGTCCCGGAGATTATTTTTGGTTTGGTTTATAAAAGCCGAAGATTTTATTATTGAAAATAATCTGCGGGCTCTTGATTAAAAGCCGAAGATTTTACAATTCATAATAATCGGCGGGGGTCAGACTTTTAAAAGCCGAAGATTTTATAATATAATAATCGGCGGTGTATTTTAAAAAGCCGAAGATTTTGAAAAGCCGAAGATTATGAAAAGCCGAAGATTTTGGAAAGCCGAAGATTTTGGAAAGCCGAAGATTTTGAAAAGCCGAAGATTTTGAAAGCCGAAGATTTTGAAAAGCCGAAGATTATGAAAAGCCGAAGATTTTGGAAAGCCGAAGATTTTGAAAAGCCGAAGATTTTGAAAGCCGAAGATTTTGAAAAGCCGAAGATTTTCAGACTTTTAAAAGCCGAAGATTTTATAATATAATAATCGGCGGTGAATTTTGAAAAGCCGAAGATTTTGAAAAGCCGAAGATTTTGAAAGCCGTAGATTTTGAAAAGCCGAAGATTTTGGAAAGCCGAAGATTTTGAAAAGCCGAAGATTTTGAAAGCCGTAGATTTTGAAAAGCCGAAGATTTTGGAAAGCCGAAGATTTTGAAAAGCCGAAGATTTTGAAAAGCCGAAGATTTTAGAATTGATAATAATCGGCGGGATTTTAAAAGCCGAAGATTTATTTGTATCCATGTATTTTTAAAAGAAAAATAATAATAATCGGGGGGTTCACTGTGGCTTTCCATACAAATGTATTGTTTTTATAATTTCATGAAACATATTAGAGATGCGTACGTGTTTTTATTCCACTATTCTGCTGATCAATATAAGTAGAAATATGTATGTTGCTACTGCGTGATAACTTTTCAAAGTTTATTTCAGCAAGTACAAAAACTTTACAAGGATAATTGCCATAGAATTACGTGGTATTCATGGATTTTCTACTCCAGCATATTTTCGAATCCATGACACACTAATAGCAAACTCATCGAGAATATTTGACTATGCATGTTATGAAAGACACCTTAAAACAATATATCGTATATCATCATGACCTTCGTGTGACCTTAGCCTCAAGATCAAAATACTAAATTTTCACGGATATTTTCGCAAAATCGCTAAGAAAGTGGATTGTAATCAGGTGCTCCCGATGAG